TCGGGGCAAGTAGTGTTATCCCCCATTCTGCGTGGGCCCTGTGGAACCCCTCACAAGCTTGGACATGCACTTGGTGAATCCTTGATAAATGGGCTTCCAAGAACACCAAAGACCCCAGGAAGTCATTGCCAATTATAACTAATCCCCACAACATTGGCAAAGCAAGTAATAGCTACGCGGTGTTTCTGGAAAGGGTCCCACCAACAGGGAATGAGGGGAAACTTGGGTTTGGGGTGATGCCACCATAGCAGCACCTGACCCCCAGGTGGGCAGGAAGGATCCATGTGCTGATGAGTTCTTAACATATAAAATGAGAATCTTAGCTCAGTCATGAAGACCTTGGGAAGAGACGTAGGCCACACACATCCACATTTGGACATCTTCCACCAGTGCCCAAACTGTGCTCAAAAGTGACACAACCAGTGGCTCCCACCAGGGGCAGAGGGCTGTTGGCTGGCTTGTCTGCTCTCCTGAAGCTAGCTTGGAGCCATCCTTCCTAAGGAAGCCCTAAAGCTGGATGGAAACCCACCCTGGCAGGGAACCCCCACAAGCACATGTAGGATGCAGTGCTGTCATATAGATGACTGAGTGAAAAAATCAAGACCTTCTGTTTTGTTCCTCCCAGCTTTGATTAGAACCAGCAGCCGGGGTGGGTAGGGGGAGGAGAACACCATTAACATAGCAGAAAACCCAACCCCCCCGGAAGAGGTCCGGCATTGATATCCCCCTGCACTCCTGGTCCACACCCTTGTGACTCAAGACCAGCCATGGCTCTAAAAACAAGAAGGGGACCAGATTGGATAATTGCTCTAGTCTCCCATGTGCTGGGAAGGCTCAGAACAACACCCAAGAGTTCCAATTGGGGCCTCCCCTCCACAGAGCTGGCTGAAGCTCCACATGGCATAGCTGCCACCCTATCTCTGCCTCCTGGCTGCTCTCATTTAGTGATGAAAGGCCCTGTGCATCTTCCTCTGAATTGTGGTTTACAATGCTGCCAGTTTTGTCAAAGGTCTAAACACTATAGCAGGATCACAGGCCAAAGGAGATGATCAAACTCTGGTAACTAGCACCCAGGAGGCTGAGTCCCAAAAAGACACTGAAAGTAGACACACTGGGACCATGATGGATTGCTCCACAAACCACACCATCAGAGCCCATGGTTAGGCATTTTAGAGTAAGTCAATTCTATCCTTTCCCTTCCTACCACAAATAGTCCAGAGGCCAACCATTAGGAAGATTACCTAATGTGGCACCACTGTCCTGCTAAAGCCACAGCTCAGATGGTCAACATGGCCTGCTTCCTGCAACAGACCATGGCAAGGCCTGCTTCCATCACCAAGCAGAGTGACCAGCAACACTTTCACCTCAGATGGCCTTTCCCAGGGGCCTTGTTAAGTAGGTCAAATTTTTACATCAGTGTTGTGATCTGTCACAAGCCAGATACGCATGCTGTCACACTCTGTGCTCACAAAATCCCAGTCACCCCATTTCCACCATTATTTTACACAAGAACAGCTAAGGACTTTGATTTGATCTCTACTCATTTATGGACATTTAACCAAAAGTGTTCCATTTCCCTGACACTTTTGTTAAAATTACAAGATAACTGGATGGTGCTGCAAATATAAATGCTTAATGGCAAAATGGTGCAGGAAAAACCATGACCTAGGCAAAGTGATGGTTCCAGAGAAACTAACAACATTCTCGGTGGCAACGTGAATTAATGACAACACGAGCCTCTTCAGGAGGACAAAGCTGAAACGCGGGGTGTCCACAAACCAAACTATCAAGTCCAGTACAACAGGAACGTAATGCCATTAAACTAGGACATGTTCAAAAACACTAAGATGACAAAAATGGCAGATAAATGCTTTTAGCGCCTCACCAGCTTTCCCTTCTGAGGCCATGGTTTTGACAAAGACTCAGGTTTCTCATCTATCTCCTTCTCTGCCAACATTAAAAAAAAGACCCATCTGGTGTGTGCCTGGTGTGGTGGCACATGGCTGTAATCCTAGCTACTCAGGAGGCAGAGGCAAAATTAGCCTGAAACCCTATCTAAAAACAAACCAAAAGCAAAGGACTGGGGATGTGGCTTAAGTGGTATGGCACTTGCTGGAAAGTACAAGGACCTGAGAGCTCAGAACCCAGTATTGCCTTTCCCAAATCTCCTGTCTAGACAGGAGAGCTCAATAGGTCAGCTTCCTGATTGAAATCAACGTGTTCACTATTTTGATCACAATCCAAGTAGCGTGTTACCACGTATAGACAGCAGCCCTGCTGAAAGAGTGGCTACTGCAGACTGGCATGCAGCCATGTTATGGTTTGGAAACAAGTGTCCCCTGAAAGGGCTCACGTGTTGGGGACGTGGTCCCAGCTGGTGGTGCTGTTTTGGGAGGTTCTGGAGACTTTGGAAGGTGGGGCACAGCTGGAGGAAACAAGTCACTGGATGATGTGTCCTGGGGTTACAGTTTGTCCTATAGTTTGTGTCTACTTCCTGTCTGCTATGAGGTGAGTAGCATAAGCCATATTCTCTATGCCATAAAGTTCTGTCTCGTCATGGGCCCAGAATCAATGGAGCCAAGGACTATGGGCAGAAACTCTGAAACCATGAAATAAAATAAACCCACCCTCCTTGAAGTTGTTATCTGTTTCGGTACTGGTCACAACAATGCTAAAGCAACACAAACCTGTTTGCCATGGTGACACGCCTGTGGGAATAAGAGGTTCAAGAGCAAACACACGCTTTCTGGGAACCTGTGAGTGTGACCAGTAGAGAAGGTTAACCCTGGAGCCGGTGGGCAGCAGGCCAACAGCGGGTGCAGGCTAGAGATATCACAAGTCTTCTTCCGGGAACTGGCCATCTCCAATAATGGGCAGCTCTAGTAAGGCAGTCACCTAACTTCTTTCAAAGTGCTATCCTAAACTCCTTCCCCACAGTGTGTCAAAAACACAGGTGTGCTGCCAAGTGTGGGAGCATGCGGTACCCAGGAAGCATCTGTTACCAGGAATTGTGTTGTGATTTCATTCTGTTACTGTAAGCATTTGTAGAACGTCAGCTGTCTCTGAGATAGAGAACAGCATTACACAGGATCCTTCAGTGGGTCCAACGATCAGGTTAGGACAAAGGAGACTCATTTTTCAACCGTTTTTGATCCTGGAAAAGCCCACTTCACCATTAAACCACAGCCTCATTTTAGAGGAGTTATTTCCCAACCACAAAATGAGCGTCCATAAAATACACCCAGAGTGCCTCTGGGGTGTTAGCTCTGCAGATGAGGTGCTTCCCTGGGGGAGGGGAGGCCTAGGTGCCTTTCGGGATGAAAGAGCTCCTACAGCTGACACAGTTAACATCTAGACACAGAACTGGACACCAGTGGAAACATGGCCAGCCCAGCACTCAATATAGGAACTAACACACTGCACCACTCCAGGCCCATGATGTCTGAAAACCCGGGGAAGATCCCAGCACACAGGTCTCTTTAGAAGAGAACCATAAAAGAAATGCTGGCCTTGAGCAGCAGAACTGAATGAAGAGAAGGTCAGAATGATGGCCATGGCTTCTCTCATGTTCCCCACAAAGGAGGTTCAATGATACTTCCTGGTGGCTCATCCCCCAATGCTAAGTGTTCAAAAATGACCAAGAGTCATGTGCATGTGGGTGCCATGCTCCGCTGTGGCCTTTTGCCGAAGCATTGTCAAAGCATTCCTGGGAGAGGTCTCTAGAGTTTCCAAACCAAATTCAACCTTAAAAGGTGTGTGTATGCACACAGAACACATGGACATACAGATTTGCATATCTTAAGGACTACTGTAGTCCACCTATTCAATTCACAAAGATGGCTTCCTTCCACATGAACAGAGAAAAGGTTACTTGCTGAAGTTCCTCAGGCTGGTGAGCTGTCTGCAGGTCCTGGGCAGCTGTACTACTCCTTGCTCCAGGGCCAAAGGAGGGAGACAACCAGTGAGACCCTTTTCCAATCGCAGCCTACTCTGCTCTGGTGGGATTCAGCATGGTCCCCAGGGGTCATCCCTTGGTGCCCACAGGAGTGGGCCTCTAATTGCCTCAGCAGCTCAGGAAAGGTGACCTTGACACCTTCCTTCTAACCAAAGCTCATCCCCTCTAGGCTGGACAAAAAGGACGCTGAGCAACTTAGCTCACACTTGCCTTCTTGCTTTTGAATAATGTTACCTTAAGGAGGAAAGATATTTTTAAAAGGAGAAAAAAAATCCCGTCAAAGAAACTGACACTGAGATTTTTGAGTAAGATCCACGTTTTGTACAACATGGGTAAAAGCATGAGGAAACTAAACCTTGTTGCAGGTGCAGGATTGAACCATTTTCAATCAATATCATCTCCACAATACTCCAAAACAGTTCAGGCAGAACAGAATGTTCTCTTCTGGCTACACCCACTTTCCCAACCGACTCCCCCAGAAACACAAAACAAAAACAAAAAAAACAAAAAAACAAAAACATAAAATATCGGATGCACAGACATGCCAGAGCTCGGCAACTGGAAATGGAAGCTGATTAAAGGCTGCCATCACTGGCAGGCTGCTTTCTTTCTAAAAAAGCCCATTCACCATCCGTCTACCATTTTATAATGATGGGGGTGGCAGGAGACCATCTCCCTAATTCATTTTTATTCTTTTTAATTAATACATCGGAAAGCCCTAACGCTATTTCCATCTGGCTTGAGCTTTCTTGTAGTATAATTTCCATTGACTTATCTCTATAGTAGCAGCAGCAAAAAAAAAAAAAAAAATCACTTTTCACTGAACTGTATTGCTTCAGAGTTCATTACATGTATTTTGCTTTTGATAAATGAAAATACCAGATGCAATTAATTGAAAGACAATCAATATGATCCTACTATTAGACATCCCAGTGAAACATCAGGGGCTGCCGGCGATCCATAGTCATCAACTGACTGAAAACACATTCCAAAGGGGATTTTAGAAAACTGAACTTTTACCTGGAGATATCTGGCAGTAACTCACCAATATAAATGTGTCCACAAACTATAGTTCACACAGTGGGTTGTCCGTCTTTTTATGGGGACACAGGTTCATCGGTTCACAACCATGTAAGGTGATGAAACCCTGAAAGCAAAATGGAACAAGTCAGTGAAGTTGAAGCAGTGATTTTTGTTTACATCTAGTCATCCTTTAATTGCATTTTTCCAATGCCTTCGACATGAAACTACTAGAGGTTATTAAACGGTTTCGTTACAAATCCTATCTGTCTTGCTATAGCCACACACCACATCAAATTAAACAGAAGAGCACCAGAACAAATGAACCCCTTCCTTCTATTTTGATACAAAGCCAAGTGTGCAAAGCCAGATAATACCGTATTACCACGGTGAAAACGTCACTTGGCTTTCTTTACATCTCCACGTTGCATGCAAAGGAACCAAACAATCAATACCTTCAAGCCCAAGTATTACCGAGTGTTTTGAGAAATATGGAATTATAAAGTGCAATTCAAAAGCCATGGTTCAGAAGCGCCATTAGCATAAATGCTGACAACTGTTAATCTACTGCAAGTCTGATGAAAGGCTGCACTTGTCCACTGATGGAAGCATTTTAACTTACTACCGAAATTGATTACTCAGTTAAGAATTCAATCCTAATGTTCAATAAAATTGCACTTTCTTGGCAAGTGCAATATTACATGAGGTGACACATTAAACAGCACTCACATTTATTTTACTACACATGAAAGAGGGAGGAAATATATGGCACCATCCATGTCATCTGACCTGCGTGCCACACACACAGCACTGTCGGAGGTGTGGGCAGCCAAATTAGTCTTGTGCCTGGTAGAAGAGTTCAGCGTCTGGCTGGCAAACTCGGCCAGGTGTTTTTCTATGGATTTTCCATGAAGATGGAACTTCACCATTGGGGTCGCCATGCAACTGCAGAGTCCACAGATTAAAGTAACCCATAAGGAAGGAGAGAGGCAACTTTTACAGACATGAACTGTTGCTTCCAATCCCAAAACTCCCAAACTCGGGTTCAAATGCTTCATTAATATACAAAAGGTGGGAAGTTATGGTAACCTGCTTCCCAGCTATACTCTATTTTTCTAACCATTCAAATCTTAAAAAGTGGTAGATTCCTAATACACATTTCTCCTCATTTTAAACAATGAGAGTAGGCCAGGTATGGTGGTTCATGCCTGTAATCCCAGTACTCAGGAGCTTGAGGCAGGGCAATCAAGGTCAGCTGGGCTACACTGTGAGACCATGTCTCAAAAGCAAGAACAAAACAAAGAAACAAACAAAAATGATGAGGCAAATGGTTAGGCTCCAACCCTGCGAAAGACATTGTCCTGTGTGAGTATACAGAAAGTCACAAAGCAGGGCCACTGGGCCCCCATTCACAAGAAAACCACACTGCTTTCTTGCATCTCCATTTCAGGGAGCAGAGCTCTGCAATCAGGCAACCAGCTTCTACTCCATAACCAATGGCAGGAAGTAATCACAACAATCATCCTCAGGTCTCTGCAGGTGTGGGAGGAACGCTCCAGCCCCTCACGTAAGGGGGTTAGCATCTGCATGTAGCCTACCCACGACATCCCATAGACTTTACACCATTTCTGGATTAACACCTAATACTATATAAATGCTATATGAACAGCTATACTGTAAGTCCTTATAGAAGTTCTATTATTTTTTATATTTGTGATATGGTCTAATTATGTAGCCCAGGCTGGCCTTGAACTTGTGATCCCCCTGCCTTAGCCTCCTGAGTGCTGGGATTACAGTTGTGTACCACAACACCCAACTTTTAGAATTTTTTCAATCAGAAGTTGGTTGAATCCACAATGCAGAACCCATGGATGCAGGGGGTGGCTTCTATACCCAAGATTGTCACACATCCAAAGTCAAGAAGCAATTCACTGTACACTGCTCCCCACACCACCTCATAACCCAAACTTTCCAACTTAAGGAAGGTGGGCGGTGGGGTGGGGAGAGGAAGATGTTCCCATTCTAGTGTCTTGAGTGCTAGGGAGGGAGAGACAGGTACAGTCTTTCCACAGTCCCAAGCCTCTAATAACACAAGCACAAGCATCTACCACACCAAGGAACCATCCTTTTGAGGTGGCAGAGCTTGTCTGACAAACTCCTATCCACTCTCCAATACCTGTACCACAGGTATCTTCTGTAATACCTTTCCTGCTCTGACTACCAGGCTGCTATATACCCTGCCCACCTCCAAGTCCCTTAATATGCAACACCTTGGTCACATTATAGTCACCTCTGGAACATAAAAGGAAATTAAGTATCTAATTAATTGCCTAACAACTAATTAATATTCCCTGTGTAATATTGCCTTAGTATGCCACAGGCTTTACTTTCTACTTTCGTGTCTACTATACAAAGCTTTGGAAGTATGCATGAGAGAGAGAATGAATTTCTAAAACCCTAACTTTGGGAAGTCTTCCCTTTTTGAAAGAAAGGCAGGAAAGGGGATTGGAATTCTTGATTTTAAGCAAAGGTCTGAGACATACATACATCTCATCTTAGTGGCTGGTGGGCACAGGCTTTTAACGTGAGCCACTTCAGTCAGATTAATGAACTAGGGAGACCACTCTGCCCTGCAGAAGGTATCACCACCTTCTACATGGAATTTCAAGCTGGGCAACTGGAGAAGAGTGAACAGTGACAGCTTATTTAGTGGATTAAGAACACTAAAGGGCTGGAAGACCGTCAGAACCTTTAAAGCAAGTGTCCATTTGTTACTTTAAGGTCAAAAGAAGTACTCAGCTACAGAAAAGCAAAAAACTCGAAGCTGCTCGTTTCTGCAGATGCTGACAATGCAGCATGAAGCAGTGCCCCGAGGATGCACCAGGGGAAATTTCTTGGCAGGTTTTCTCTAAGAACTTCCAGGAGCATACAATCACGCGTGGAAATGACTGAGCTGATTAAGACAACCTCAGTTCCCAATGCAGAACCTCGGGGCTGAGCAGGCACAAGTAAATGTTGGTCAGAAGTATGACATCTCCAAGTTCACTTGGCTGTTTGTCTGTCCTGTCATTAGCCATCCTTTTAATGCCAATCTACTAAACATCCCTTGTTTAGCAGACAAGGGAGGGGTGCCAGCAGGCATACCATCCCAGGATGGTAGGACAGCCAGGCTGAGAGCCACTGATCCTCAGCCTTCCACAGATAGGAAAGTTGCAGTTCAGGACCCACTGGCTAGAAGGGTTCCTCCACTTGGATTTTCCCTTTCTTCTAATACTGGCAGGAGGTAGGTTATAGCTCTGGGATTTGAACTCACAGCTTGTCACCAGGAGGCAGGTGCTCTACCACTTGAGCCACGTCTCTAGTCCTTATTCTCTGGTTATTTTTCAGATAGAGTTTTGGTTTTTGCTTAGGCTAGCCTGGACCTTACCCCTCCTATTTTAACTTTCCCGGCAATGCTGAGACAACAGGTGTCACATCCAGCTTTTTCTGTTGAGAAGGGGTCTTATGAACCCACCCCCCTCAGGGCTGACCAGAAACCATAATCCTCAGCCCCATCTCAGCCTCAGCTCTCAGCCTCCTGCACAGCTGGGATGGCAGGTACGCACCCCAGCACCCAGCTATTTGACTTGTTCTTTTACTAAATCTGGATGATAAAACTATACTCCAGGTATACAGGGAATACATGCACTTTTCTGAAACAGTTTGAGATTGGAACCTTGTGAAATGTGCTAAGAGCCTGCACTGAGCCCTAAGCAGGTCTTGAATGGGGCCTGAGAGGCTCTGCCCTGGCTCAGGCCAGGAGAACTTGTCCTCAGGTCAACTTGAGCACCTTTGGAAAAAGCTCCTCCTGTGCTCTGCATTAGAAGCAGATCTCTCCCCCACCCCCATCTGACTACAGAGACAGGAAAGGCAGGCAGAGGCACCTCACTTGCTGTGACCATCACCTAACAAAGTGCCCACTTACCTGCACTAACTCTCCCTAACTAAAGCTCCGCCTGCCACCCCTAACCAGCACTTGGGGTGCTTAGGCTGTCCTGTGTGAGTGACAGGGCTTCCTCACCCACTGCTTTGGGGTGGAGCCCCTCCTGCCTCCTTTCTGGATGGTTGGGTTATACTGGACAGGAAGCACAGCCAAGCATAGCTTGGCTTGGGTAATTATTTGGAGGGGAAAAGGTCTTTTCTTTAATTGTACAAAATGATGGGATTCATTGTAACATTTTTATACACGTATATAGTAATTTGGTCATATTCATCTCCCCATACCTTCTTATCTTCCCTCTCACTGGCCCCTCCAGAGGGAGGGTAATCTTTAAAAAGCTACTGTGGAGCTGGGTATGGTAGTGCACACCTGTAATCCCAAAACTAGAGAGGCTGAGGGAAGAGGATCAGGAGCTCTAGGCCAGCCTGGGCTACACAGGGGAGACCTTGTACCAAAAACAACACAAAACTGGATGTAAAATGGGGCTGGAGATGTGGTCAAACAGTAGTGCCTGCCTAGCAAGTGTGAATCAAGAACAGAGCTCAATCCTAATTATACACACACACACACACACACACACTATACCTTTTTTTTTTTTAATGGATTAAGTTTTTATTTTTATTTATTTTATTTTTTTCATTTTTCTTTTATTATTCATATGTGCATACAAGGCTTGGTTCATTTCTCCCCCCTGCCCCCACCCCCTCCCTTACCACACACTCCACCCCCTCCCTCTCCCCCCCCTCAATACCCAGCAGAAACTATTTTGCCCTTATTTCTAATTTTGTTGTAGAGAGAGTATAAGCAATAATAGGAAGGAACAAGGGTTTTTGCTGGTTGAGATAAGGACAGCTATACAGGGAGTTGACTCACATTGATTTCCTGTGCGTGGGTGTTACCTTCTAGGTTAATTCTTTTTGATCTAACCTTTTCTCTAGTTCCTGGTCCCCTTTTCCTATTGGCCTCAGTTGCTTTAAGGTATCTGCTTTAGTTTCTCTGCGTTAAGGGCAACAAATGCTAGCTAGTTTTTTAGGTGTCTTACCTATCCTCACCCCTCCCTTGCGTGCTCTCGCTTTTATCATCACACTATACCTTTTTAAAGAGGCTACTTCAGAAGCAAGGGCCCAAGCCTCAGAGAGATCCCTGAG